AGAAATGAAGAGAGTGAAAGCAGTTTTGTTTTGAATCATGAGATAAAACCTGGGGAAGAGGCAGGGTGTTGCAGCTCAGATAAATATATAATCTTATTTTTTTACCATGTGCATGATTATACACGCGTGAGATAAAAATGAATCTGTGGTTCTGCACGGCAGAGTAAAGACATACATATGTTCCACACATTTATACTTTTCTAAGTCGTCTGTCCTTCATCTGTTTGGGTTTGCAGGTGTCTAACATAGTGTATTTATCATGGGCCCCATCCCCCACCCAATCACAGGGAGACAAACACCCTCCTGCTCCATCACACAGACCTTCTCACTGTGATGTGATAGAGGTTAGAATAGGTTCTCGCTTTGACAAATCATCACTCACATCTGTCAAGGAACGCAGACCAAAGAACTAACAATAATACACCCAATGAGGGCAAAATCAGTTTGCATTTTGTTTCTAACTAAAAAAAGGTTTGTAATATATCTTTACTCCTTGTTTTGCCTAAAAAGGTTTGAAGATTTTTTTATATCTTCAAGAGCACCTTAAGGTTGTATTGTAAGTGTGACTCAATGAACACCAGGCTTCTTCATTTGTCTTCACACCAGCAATAATATGTTTTGACTGAGAAGGCAGGTATTATTAGTGGGTTCTTGAGAGGCCTGGAGTCCCAGTGCAGCTGCACTCTGCACTGCCTGTAGTTACTGCAGCAGACTGGAAACAAATGGCAGTGGCTACACAACAAGAGGACTATTAAAGATACTGGATGTTGTTCAGAGGAGATTTTCTAGTGGAGCCACTTACTGATGTGAATTCTACCCTTGTCTGATGTTATTTTGTTTATTTGTTTGATGAGGAAGTGTTGTGAGAAGTGATTCTTCTCAATTATACGGTATTCTCTCTTATTTTTACATGTAATGTCTGAACATTTTTTTCCTTTGATGTCTATTTTATCTGTAATATGTGTACTGGCACTGAACAATGAAGTTAAATTATAAGATGTGCCCCATGGCTTAGGAGTTTATTGGCGGTTTCACATTATGAAGTCTGTCTTAAAGCAAAACTGACATGCCCATATGTACACTGAATGAATGGGTCAGTAGTCTTTCTGTATTTGTTCTTTCTGTTCAAGCAATCCCTTCTTAAAGGAATTTAAATGTAAGAAATAGGGGACAACAACTTCAAAACATCAGGTGAAGCTAATATGAAGCTTCAGCAATCTGACTTGTATACAATCAAGTGCGTATCTTCCAAAGTTACAGTGAATTTATTTTATTTCTTCTACATCTTCTCATTCAGTCCTTCCATTGCAGCCTGCGGTCTGAGGATACACAAAGAGGGACTTCTGGTCTAAAAACACCCCCTTGATTTCTGTAACTCACTTAAAACATTTAAAAGCTTTTAAAAAATCTAATTACATTAAAATATTGCCCATAATTTAGATGTAAAAGTAGCTTTAAAGTTTGGGCTGTTGATGGATAAATGAAACTTGCCTGAGACTTAAAGTAAGTTTCTTGTGCAGTAGATAGGATATCAGCTGAGGCGATGTCCAGATGCAGGAGAATCTGTCGAAATGAAGGCCTGTTCCTTGGTTTGCAGTTCCTGTGAACATATTAACCAGTGTTTTGTCAGGTCAACCGACATTTAAAAATGCCCTTTGGTCTCTTATGAATAGTTGTCTTTGTCAAACATCTTTTTATGTTTAAGTTTTCCTTCCCTTCCATTCCACTGACCACTTTCACTCTCAGTTTTCTTAATCCTTTCCAATTCATTACAGTACATTCCATTACTGATATGAACTGAACTTTTCTTTTTCCATATATCTCTCCTCCTCCCAACCAGTCTGCTCACCAGCATTGCCTCAGGAGTAGTTTGAAGCTGTCTGGACAGCTATCAGGCACAGGCAGCTGTAGGCTGTTGTTGCCCACTCCCCAGATGATAGCAGAAGAGTCCACATCTTTGTAGGGCACCTCCCCTGTCAGCATCTCCCACAGCACCACACCAAATGACCTGCAGACGGATGCAGCACATTTACTTTTAGATAAAGATGTGAAGCGAACAGATGAAAGACAGCGTGACTGAAATGTCTCCGTTTTAATTTTCTTGCAAGGACATTTTGCCTTTACCATTACGATTGCTGCAATGATACTTTATCTCTGTAAAAACATATTTTTCTTTCATAAAAAGGAATCTGATACTAGCACAACCAATTTGGTGTTGAAAAGCGTGGTCACTGGTAACAACTTTCCATAATTGGAATGGTGTATACAGTATGAAAGCTGTACAGTTACACAATGTATACCGCTGTATATCACTGTAGTTCAGCGTTTCATTGATGAACCGCTGAACTGTTTTGTAGGAAAGCAGAACAGTAAGTCTGCAGGGAGGGTAGCTGTTGTTGGTGACTGTCGATGTTGCCATGGTGACCATATACAGTATCCAAGGTGCCAAAAGAATCACATGCAGCATTGTGTGTGTGTGATGTTGTGTTTACATGTGTATTTTTAAAGTCCCTCCATCTCCTTGTTGATGATTTGTGATTAAAAGGAAGAGAAGACTAAAATTACTCGATCTCAAGACACTGTATGTATTTTGCTAACATCAGGTGATGATGATAGATGATGGCTTGCAATGGATGGTGAATTTCTGTATGGTATAATATCATTTAGAAAGGCAGCTAATGATTTGTCACATGATTCATTAATTCAGTCTGAAATTAATGAACAGCAATATAGTTCATGTAAAATATAGTAACACACCACACCTGTTCTGAAAACCTTCATTTCTAGATGATAAATTAAAAAAAGAGAGTCACTGTGTTATTAACAAAATTCAAATCAAATAAATCACTTAAACACAGACCCAGCACATATATAACTATAGTGGAGCTGCACTGCAACTACTTAGCACAATCAATGTAGCATTACACATGAAGTTCCATTTTTTGGGCCAATGCCTTGATGTTAAATTATGTTATTTTGTATTTTGTGTAATATTACATAAACAATTATGGATATTTATGTATTTAAATATTAATGCATTTGTTACATTTATTGTTGACCTAGGCTGTAATACTGTACATATAATTGGACTGAACTGACATTACCTGAGCTAAAGTTATGAAAGTTTTTATTTTATTTAGCTCATTTGTATCACCTAAAAATGCATTACTGTAAATTCTGCCTCTTTTCTGGCTGCTTTAGTGCTGTCCTTATGTAAAAGTCCAAATGGAACATTGTACCAGCTGTTACTACAAACAAAACTGAATATCTTAACCACAGTACATTTTTGTGGCATGGCCTACTATGATGCGATTTACATAATTTTAAACAAAACTCTACAATTCATACTCATGTTTTTCTTTCCTTCTACTGTACATCAAAAGCTTTTTAATCCTATTTTCACTTCTCTGCTAATGTACTGCTGGCCTTGGGCCAAACCATCTGCAGGCTCCGAAGGTTATTCCAGCCTCTCCAGAGCACTGTAGCATCTGGCAAATCAATTATTAAATTAGCCAGCGTTCCTTTCAGGACAGAGAGGAAGAGTGATGGAGGGATGTAGGATTGGAGAGAGAGAGAAAGAGGAAGGGTGAATGTATTGGGGAGATCAGGGCTTAACACAAGGCAGCCCATCAGATATGGCAGAGATCCTATAGAATTTCACATAATGAAATATTGTACGTAATACTCAATAGATTTTCTGGAAAGACAATCCCTTGCTCTGTCCTGTAATAGGCTGTAACTAATGGCATTCTATGTTGATTCTGCGATAGACAAGACAAATACTGAGGGAATACTGCAAAGGTTTACTAAAACTCTGTTTCCACTATTGGAACCTAACGAGTGGTACACCCTGTACTTCCCTTAACCATTTTTGTGATGGTTAAGGGAAGTACAGGGTTAAGCATAGCCTCTGTGGTTGATGCGGACCATCCTGCTTTGTTTTTCCACTTTTCTCTCTGTTGGTCTATGATTAGATGAGGGAGGGGCTGCTCCCCTCTCAAACACGCAATTAGCTGTGTGTTTACACATGGTGTTTGTAATGCTGATGCTTGAGGCGTGAAGATGCGGACATTTAACCAGTCATCAGCGACTGCTCTGTGTGCACACACCTACCCCCGCACGGTCCCGGTACTTGATTTTAGTACTATCTCCTAAAATTTAGCTCCCAGAAAGTGGGCCAAGTGTAATGGAAACAAATGCAGAACCCATGATGAGCGTTACTGGGCGTGACACATTTCGGTAGGTTCCGATAATGGAAAAACCCCTTAGCACAAAAAGTTTAAAAGTGTTATGACACCTACCAAATATCCACCTTCTCTGAGACAGGTTCATTGCGAATGACTTCAGGAGCCATCCAGGCCACCGTCCCAGCAAAAGACATCTTGGTGCTCTTATCACTGAGCTCTTTGGATGTACCAAAATCAGAAATCTTCACAGCATCATCGTAGGTGATCAGCATGCTGCAATGGAACATTTAGAGGTAAATTAAATCAGCTGTTCTATGGAACATCATCACTTCATGTTTTTTCAAATATTGAAACTGATAACTTATGACTGCAACAACAGTTAGACAAATGCAACATGGGGTTAGAGGGGTTAATTGTTGTTTGTTTGTTTGTTTGTCTAAAAGGGACAGAACCTAAAAAGGCTGGAAACTGTTGTTCTAAAGCTTGGGATATAATATAAAAAGTCAGTGTCATTCTAAATTTTATTTAGGTCAAACTGATACCACTAAAGAGAGAGTGGGACAAAGATGGATCAAAAACCAAAGTCATTGCTGGTTTGGCCTTTTGAGATGGAAAGTGTCAAAAGGAGCCAAGTTACTCAGATTCCTTCTGGATGTATTAGCATCTAAAGCTAATGTCATGATTTTACATTTGTATTGAATTCATGTGATTTTAATTTGGGAATCATTTGCATTTTGTGTAACATTAGCACTTTATGTCACGTTAGCAGTAACCAGAGTCAGTTCTACTAGACTGACAATTTTACATTATAGTCAGCTAATGCTAGCTTTGGACTCTCACTGGACTCTCTAGCGGCGGAAAAGAAATTAGGCAGAGTATGTTTCAGATATCACCTGCAGAACAGATTAGAGAAGGAACATCAACCTTCATCCTCAGCTGCATCACTCAAGGCACAATGTCTCTTCTTGCCTTTAAGTTTACTTTTAGAGAGTGAGATACCTAGCAGCCTCAGAATTTACAGTGAAGGGTCCTAAGTTTGTCCAAGCTTTAGTATTGTGATCCTTTTGCTCTAACATCATCATTTACACTTACACGAGTCTACAAAAACACTCACTTAGGTGACTTGAGGTCTCTGTGGATGATCTTGTGGAGGTGAAGATAGTTCATACCCCCAGCGATGCCCATGGCCCAGTCCATGAGCAAGGATGGTGTGATCTTCCTGCCCGCTCTCAGCACCTCATACAGCTGTCCCTGGGCACAGTACTCCATGATGATGCAGTAACATGGGGCCTGGGTACAAATACCTCTGAGAGTGTAGAAAAAATGTGTACAGTAGGGGACATTAGAGTGGTTACAATGTCAGCTATGAATGAAAAACTTGAAACTGGCATCATGTAATTATAATTACATTATAATTACATTATAATTACATGATGCTCTTTGGGTTCAAGAAGTGTTACAGCCTTTTGTTTTTATAAAAAAAATGCCACAACTTGTTAAAACAAAAAAAGCTAAAAAGCCCCTTTGGTAAAGTCAAAGCTGCATTTCATAAAAACCTCATATGTACAACTGGGGTTCTTACTTAAAGAGAAAAGGCTAGTGGGCTAATAGTGCAGGGATGGTAAACAAGGTCTGAAAATGAAAATGATTCACATCAGTCATATACTACACAAACATGCAGTTTTAATGAGAAACTGCACTCTGTGATATAGTAGGCCAACTGATCATTTTTACTAACTTGAAAGTGATGATGTTGGGGTGTTTGAGCTTGCGCAGGTGCTTGATGTCTGTCTCTTTGATGTTTCTCACTTTCTTTACAGCCACTTCCTGCCCATGCAGTCTACCCAGGAAGACGGCGCCCTGGGCTCCGCTGCCCACCCACTGCAGGTCTGATATCTCTTCAAACGGGACCTCCCATGCCTCTGAGATTTGAGAAGAAGATGGCGGCAAAGTGGTTGGTGAGTTTATCTGTGCAGTGATTTGTCAATTATAGATATAAAATACTGGGATTATTGTTTTTGTTTTCATTGATTACAGGTCAAATGCCACCAATATGAATGACAAGACTATGCAACAATTTAACATCCTTAAGTACAGCTGATGTTTAATGTTGGCTGTTTATTAAGGTCTAAACATCCTACTGCAATTAAGTGCCACACCTTTGATGAGCAATAGAAATACTGACTTTATCACACTTTACTCTAGTCCATTTTATTTTGTCTTGTGTAGCCATGTGTGGCTCTACGGATCCTACAGATCCACCACTTTGGTCCAAACTGAAATATCTCGGCAACTATTCAACAGATTCAGATGAAATTCTGGACAGACATTCACGGCCCTCAGAGGATAAATCAGCTTTGATGCTCCTCTAATCTTTCCCCTTGTGCCACCATGATTTTGACATTTGTTGTTTAGAGTGAAATGTCTTCACATCTATTGCATGGATTGCAATGACATTCTCCAGATGATTAGCCCTAATGACTTTGTGATTCCCAGAATTTTCATCTAGCACCATCATTGTTTGAATATGTTAAGATTAATTTAAGATAAAATTAAGATAATCAAGCGCTGCTGTACTTTGTGTTTAGATCTAATTAACAAATATTAGCAAAACAGGTAAAACTAAGCTAATGATTATTATTTCTTTATTACATGCATTTTTAGATAGCTTCCCTCTTATCTGGCTCCATGTTGGAGCTGTTTTGATGTCTATATCTTCATATTTTAACTCAGAATGTCAATATGTTTCATGATACAGTGTGCTGTAGCACTGTATAGTATTCTGGTCAAATGCTAATAAAAGTGCTAATAGAATAAAAACAAACATTCATATTCATCTGTATTTAGTAGATTCAATGACAACATCAAATGGTAAAAATGATTACATCAGGAAAGAAAAACACCAAAAACCCTGTAACTAAAGCTGGTAGCAGGCACCCCCACAGATGCTGCCAGACTGTAACAAAAATAAACCTGCAACACCAAAACCTGGTGTGAAACCTGCCTCTTACAGTCAACACAGAACCTTCATGGATATCTTGTTCCATTGTTGAACCTCATCTTAACCTAAAGACTCGGAGAGTGCATGCAGACAGACAGGAAGCTCTAATCTCCTGTGGGTAATTCTCCATCAGCCTCCTAAATCCTGCTTAGTGCCATTGTGGGGCTGACGCAAAACAGGGGTGCAACGCTCAGGAGGGTGCTGGAAGAGGAAGGGGATTTGAGAGACTTTAATGCAGATGCATGGTGAAGAGAGAGGTGGTGGGGAAGTGATGGTAGTGGCGATGGTAGCTGTGTGCATGTGTGTGTGTGTGTGTGTGTGTGTGTGTGTGTGTGTGTGTGTGTGTGTGTGTGTGTGTGTGTGTGTGTGTAAGAGAAGAGATGGGATGGGAATTCCCAGTGGGTCAGCAGGACAGACTTTTAATACAGAGAAAATATACAGCCTGCTCTTCTGCTGTTCTTAACGAGGGGAAAAATAGATTCAGACACATTTATCATATTAATAAGTATGATGTGAATGATTAATGCTCTTCAGTGATTGATTGAAGGTGTAATGAGTCCCTTTAATTTTCCACAATAAGGACTACATCTGATTGAAAACTGGGGACAGGGGCAATTTACCCCACCACCAGCCCCCCCCCCCCCTCAGTATCAGTAAAGAAGAGACAATTTGCCTGCTCTCTACCGTGCTACATTGTTCCTTCCAATCAAAGCTTAATAATAAGGTACTGTCATACGGTAGGCAGGCAGTCACTTGTAATATCCCTATTTATTTCACTTTTATAATATGTCTTGTTCTCCTCAGTGTGTATGACCTCCTTTGATACTGCACAGAGGAGGGGAAAAGTGAGGTTCAGATGGGCTGGGAGTGATAACAGCACAAGACAAAAAGGGGAGGAAAGGAGACAATAAGAGATGGAAGGTGGGTGGGGGGGGTCAAATGGGTGACAGAACATCAGGAGGCCATTAAGACAAAGACAGATACAAACCTGTCACCCTTGTGCCTGATGTGTGATGCTGTATCTATTTTATCAAGTCTGTTTTGGGCATTGTATCTGATCATGACTGCTAGATATTAAGTGTTTCTATTTGTGGAGGTGTTTATATGTGCATGCATTTATCCTTGGGTGCATGCTCACATACGTGTGTCTGTGCGTGTGCTAGGTTTGCGTTAATAGAGATGAAAGGCACGGGGTCAGAACGTGGACATGCATAATTCATGAAGCAGATTTGGCAGAGGAGTCCCCGGGGAGCTCTGCGT